CAACTCTGCCACTTACTGCTCATGGGAATTTAGTCAAATGACCTACTTTTTAATCTATAACATAGAACTAATATACCTTATCAAATTCGGTGAGAATTAAGTGAGATAAAGTTTGGAAAGAACCTGGTATAATTTCTGCTATGTTAAAGATATCCAGTAAATTATTCTTGTTGTTGTTATTGTTATTATCATTATTATCGGGCAGACTATAATTAACTTGGAGGTAGCAAAAACAGGGATGAGAACTGAAGATGATAAAGATAAAGTAGGAAAACAGGGTCCATGTTCAGCAAGGAGAAAGTGTGGGTCAGCAGTTCCACGTACCCATCACTGATGTACTCAGAATGGGGGATGCAAGCAGAGATCTAGTTAGTGCCCCAAACTAAGACAGTGGTATCAATCTATTAAAAGTTTTTAAGATAAAGTCTGAATCTTAAAAGTCAGGAGAGCTCAGGCTAATGTTAAAAACAAAAACCAAACTCACTGCCGTCAAGTTGGATCTGATTCAGCTAATATTAGAGAATGTGTAAATCGGAATTATCTCATTTTCCCATGTGGTCAGGATGACAAGAAATACACAAACAGATGTTTTTGGACTTGACTGGTGTGTTGGAAATAGAGAGAGTAAGACAGTTATAGGAAAAATTTTGCAATAAGCAGGTTAATTGTATCTAACTTCTGCCTTCAGCTTTGTCTCTGTCCATTTCTCTCTTCTATATCACAAATTCTTTCTAATCAAAATATAAATCATTCCAACACTCGCTTCGCATCTCCTTCCTTTGCATTTTCTATTCTTTGACCTTGATATGCCTCTCCCTTCCAAAACCTGACAATGCTTCATTTCAATGCAAATGGAACCCCTTTGTTCAAGGCTTTCTGGGCTCCCAGACAGAATGAATTAATCTCTACCCTGGGTTCCCACTGTAATCTATAGTCTATTGTAACACTTACACATTATAGTCTAATTCTTTGTTCTCTGTTTTCTTTAGTAGACAGCTTCAATCTATTTGTTTGAGTGTTCTTCAGTGCCTGAAACTACCTGAGTCACCTTAAGGTTAAAGGTGTGTATGGGAAGGGTAGTGTGAGGAGGAATCAGATGGGAAAGATACCTGTATCACCAGAGGGGTAGCAGCAATAGAAAGGAAGAGGTGGAAGAGAAGGAAAGAGAGCAGCTAATTGATGGTAGGGTGTTTTGAAACAGACAAAAAAGATATGACCAATAAATAATGAGAGGATTATTTTAGAAAGATAGATAATTGATTAAAAGTGGTATAAAATAATTCAGATAAGAAGAATTTGCCAGAGAATTATTAAAATATCAATGAGATCAGATCACCCATCTACTTAAAACCTTTCCAAGACGTTCCAGTCCAGTCAACCAACCGTCTACAAGCATCATGATGATTTGCTCTTCATCACAGCCCCACCCCATCTCTGTCTTCATTTCCCACCACTCTCTCCTCTACTCATTTTGCTCCAGCCATATTGGCCTCCTCACTATCTCATTTTAGGGTCTTTCAATTAGTTTCTCTCTATGAAAATCTCTTCTAGCATATAACCATAGGTAACCATCTTCTTCATGACCCCTCAATGGGCATATCCTAATCATTCTGTGGAATTAAAAATGTAAATACGAAATTAGAAATGTAATATTTAATATAGTTTTGCAATAAAAGGCCACTATTAAGGCCAGCAAAAGGGCGGGCCCCAGTTCCAGGAACAGGGGCAAGGCAAGGATGACTAAGCGCTGAACTCAACCATACCATGTAATTGGAGAATTCAAACTTAAACTTACCAATCAGCTGTACTCTCTCTCTCTGACCACCCCCTTGTAGTTTTGCCTTTAAATACTGTGTAACTTTGTTGCTGGCTGCTCCACTCCTCTGCCCCTGCATGGGATATGAGTCGAGCCCCAGCGCGCTGGAACTTCGAATAAACTCCTCCTGCTTTTGCATCAAGAGACATCTTTCGTGAGTGATTTTGGGTGGCGTTATCCCTGACTTGGGTTGGGGGAGCCCTGTCGTGGGGGAACCCAACAATTCTGTTTAAGATTTGAACCCACTATCAGCTCCTGCAAAAGGAGCTCTGGAGGTGCAGGGGCTAAGGCATTTGGCTGCTGCTAGGGGTTTGAACCCACCAACTGCTCTGCAGGAGAAAGATGAAGCAGTCTGCTTCTATAAAGATTGACAGCCTTGGAAACTTTTTCTTATGGGATCCTATGAATTGGAATCAACTGGATGGCAGTGGGTTTGGTTTTTGGTTTACTAATTCCTGCACTCCTGATTTCCCTACCTGCTCTAATTATTTTCTGTGTAGAACGTATCAATTCCTAAATTTGTCTTCTTAGTGTATTAATTATTTATTGCCTGTCTCCCTCCATCAGGATGTAACTAGTCAAGATCAGGTGTTTTTTTTTTTTTTAATTCCACTTTGCAAAAGACCCATTTTACCTATAATAACGAGCCTCTTATATCATGCCAATGTTGATGGATCATATATGTTTAAAACTTTGATAGCTCATTCATTTCTATATTACATGTGTTTCAAATTAAATAACTCTCACACACTCTTGATATACAAAGAGACAAATTATTTTGTAGGTCAGAATTAACTTACCATTCAATCCCCAGAACTGTCCTTCCTGAAAACTTTTTTTTTTTTTTTCCCTACTTTTATTGTGGTGAAAACATACACAACAAGATATTCACCAACATAACAACTTCCCCATTTACAGTTCAGGAGCATTGATAACATTTTTCATGTTGTGCCACCATTATTGCTATCCTTTTCCAAAATATTCCACCACTATTACCATAAACTCAATGCCTTGTAAACAAAAGCTTCTGCTTTCCCCCTCCCTCCTACGCCTGGTCACCACTAATAATATTTAGTTTCTATAAAGGCATTTGACTGCTAATCAGAAGGCTGGCAGTTCAAACCCACCAGCCACTCCTGGGAGGGAAGGTTGGGCAATCTACTCTCGTAGTGATACCGCCTCAGAAACACAAGAAGGGGTTGCTATGAGTTGAAATCAATGCAACAGCAGTGAGTTTGGGGTTTTTTTGGTGATATCCTTTTGTTGTGTAATTTTCCTCAGTTAACCTCAGCTACCCAGGTGCAGATAAGGAGAAATTTCCATTGATTTCTTTGAAGTTTTTCTCCACAGGTAGTGTTAGGTCCTTCCTATAATGGGCTCTAACACATTGGACTGTTTACTCTTTCTCGAGGAGTAATGAAATGACTTGTGTACTCAAAACTGTGACCAGGGGAATTGACTTTTCATCTTTATATTTTCAGCATCCGTTGTGGGGCTAGCCCTCAAATAAGTATTCAATAAATCCTATCATAACCACCAATAATGCAATCATTCATGATTTATTATTTCTTTTAGTATTACAGTCCTTTGTGCACTCAAGAGAATTGAAGTGTAGACAACCTGAGGTTTGAGTCAGATTAAAAAGTTAGTAAGAGATAAATTATGAACTAGAATTCAGGCCTTCCAATTTTGTATCCTACTGGTCTGTAATTTACCCAATGCTGTATATTGAAGCGCCCTTTGTCCATCTTGAATCTCTTGTTATTCCCATGATTTCTGAAAGACCAGGCATAAATGGGTATGCTTTAACATATAAAAATTCCTTCAAGATCTGATTCTATTTCTGTTCAGATTTAGGCTATGTGCTTCATACTGCCTCAAACTTCTCTGGAAAATATTACCCTCCTTGAGAGAGTTGTTTAAATTAAAATATTGTTATTTTTAGTGGAGGAAGAAGCCAAATTTGAATTCTATTTAACTATTGTTACTTTTCCAGCACATATAACTGATGAGTTTATTGAAAATCTGGGAGTTTAGGCCACAAAGGACATACAAATGAGAAATAATTACTAAACATGCATGAAACCCGTGCCTTATTTTTCTTTTCAGATCCCTGAGTTCTGCTTTCCTCCTTCCAGGCTACATCTATGGATTTGCGAAGTATGTTTCTCTTTTTAATTTTATTTTATTTATAATCCTAAAAAAATTTACAGCTGTATTTTTCCTTCTTCTACCATAGTTTCTGAAGAAAGTATTTTTAAATTTTAATTCCTCACATCATACGTGCCCTGGAAGCCCAGGACCCCTCAGAGTTTTGAACTTCCTGGACTCCCCCTCCCAAGGAAACTCCATGAATTCAATGTGTCCTCAAGTGTTATCCAAATAATGAGTTTCAGGGTGAAGAAATGACCAGGATTAGTCAAATTCTTCTTCCTGCAGTAAAAAAGTTTGAGCCAGTCTTTGAAGAGTACATAGATGGATGACTCTCACAAGTTAATTTGGTATCAAATGAACTGTTCATATGTGTTATTAAAAGTCAAAATGTGTTTTGACTGTTATTCCTTCATTCTATTTTTAAAGTCATGACCCTGAAAATAGAGAATTATTAACCTCCATTTCTAGAATCTTTAAAAGACATCCAAAAGAGCTGAGGAGTAAGCTAGAGTTAGTGTTTCTCCTGGCCAGGAGGATTTTTACTTTTTCTTTCCAGTCAATATTCTTCTTTTATTTTATCCAGGTTGTGAATTTCCTTACTTCTCTATTCATCTCCCTGGACCTTCCTTGAGCACTGATTCTAGCCTCCATGGTCTCCTGCCTTATAGCTGATTCTTAAATATAGGAATTTGTTGACAAGAAAAGTATTTACTACTAGTACTACCCAAAGACCTATTTCTGACCCAGATCCAAAGGCTTTGAATATTGAATCTCACTTCATGATTCTGATTTGAGATCCTTCACTTTGTGTTTGTGTAGATTTGTTTTCAGGTCCTGTTCTGATCCTCCATTTTCTAGACTTGTGCCCTCTCATGACTCCTGAATCGTGTTCTAGGACCAGATCATGGCACTAGGATTAAATTTAGTGACAAAGTCCATGTTGCCTGAAGAACTGTTGCTGCTAACTTGGATCTCACGCTACAATTTGTCAATATTATCATTCAACGTATTGTCTTTTGGTGCCCTAAACATGTGGAAGGAAAACATCACCAATATTACTGAGTTCATCCTGGTGGCCTTCCCTACTGCCCCTTGAGTGCAGGTTTTGCTCTTTTTCCTCTTCCTTGTTGCCTATCTATTTGTACTGTTGGAGAATTTGGTCATCATCCTCACTGTATGGGTCACTGGGTCCCTGTACAAGCCCATGTACTATTTTCTGGAGGCCTGGTATATAACTGTCACAGTCCCCAAGATGCTGGCTGGATTTCTACTTCACCGTAATACTATCTCCTTCCTGGGTTGCATGATCCAGCTCTATTTCTTCATCTCACTTGCCTGTACTGAGTGTGTGCTTTTGGCTGCCATGGCTTATGACCGTTATGTGGCCATATGCTGGCCTCTTCGTTATCCAGTCATGATGACCACAGGGTTTTGTGTTCAGCTGACCATCACTTCCTGGGTGAGTGGCTTCACCATCTCCATGGCAAAGGTATACTTCATATCCCAAGTTGTCTTCTGTGGCAACAATATTGTGAACCATTTTTTCTGTGATGTGTCTCCCATCCTCAAACTGGCCTGCATGGATTTTTCTATGGCTGAGATGGTAGACTTTGCACTAGCCATTATCATCCTTGTGTTTCCTTTCTCAGCCACTGTCCTCTCCTATGTTTTCATTGTGTCTACCATCTTGCATATACCCTCAGATAGTGGGCAACGGAAGGCTTTCTCCACTTGTGCCTCTCACCTCACTGTGGTGGTCATCTTCTACACAGCTGTAATCTTCATGCATGTCTGACCTCGAGCCATTGCCTCATTCAACTCCAACAAACTGATCTCAGCCATATATGCAGTCTTTACCCCCATGCTCAACCCTATTATCTATTGCCTAAGGAACAAGGAAGTCAAGGATGCCATCAGAAAGACCATGACAAGTGGCCAGTCTATTTTCTTGAGAGATTCTCTTTGCTAAAGACAGTTAGACATTCCTTTTCCTTTCACTGTTACTGACTTAACCTCAAAAAACAAAAAAACCTTTGTTTTTCTTCATTCAAGGAAAGTCTACAATTATATATGGAATTAGCACAATGATTTCAGGACAGAGAACAAAGAAAATTTCCTTTTCTGTCAGATCTAACTCAACACTTCCTTTTATAAGACCAAATCAAACCAAACTCGCTGCTGTCAAGTAGATTTCGACTCATAGCAACCCTTCCCTGGGTTTCCAAGGAAGTATCTCTACAGAAGTAGATTGCCTAATCTTCCTTCCGAGGAGTGGCTGGAGGGTTCGAACCACCAGCCTCTGGTTAGCAGTCAAATGCCTCATGCATTAAGCCACCAGAGCTCAGCAGGGAGAAAAAAAACAGATGATGGAAAAAGTGATTAGATATAATTTCATGCCTTAGTTCCCTTCCTTTATTGGAACATCTACCTACAATTTTTTTGGATAAAATACTCGGGAACTAGATCTTAGAGAAATTAGTGGCAGTTTGCTAAGTCTACTCCTTCTTAGGTAAAAGAAACATTGGTATTGACAAGAGGCTAAGAGCTTTTGCTCGTATGATAATTGGCCTGGACATGAAGGATTTTCCCAGAACATTCCCTTTCTCATTTCTTTTTCTTTTGATCTTGGAAAGGTAGATGAAATACCTTTCATTTGATCATCATAAAATTATAGAAGAGAGATGGATTCTGTGTGACTCAGCAACAATATTGGATGAGTGAAATAATGAAATATGATTTCACAAGAGTTTAAGGATGACAGGTATATTAATGTACTGCAACACTTTGGATGACACATTTCACACATTCTAGTTGGGAAATTGATTTATACAAAATATTTGCTTTGTTTTGACTTTATTTACTTTGTAACTCCATGGTCTTACCATATTATATTAAGTTTTTCATAATTCCAGATAAGATTATTTCATTTTTGTTTTATATAGATTAAGATGACTTACAATCTATGTAGCTCTCAATTTATGTCAACCTGTTCATTACTTTTAGTCTAAACACTGTATATTCTCAATGACATGTATAATTTTCTTTTAGTCAAAAGTGGTGTTATGGGGCTTGGCCCTCACAGGGACACTAAAAGTAATATGTATAAGATGCTTTATCTTGAATGGTATAATTTCTTATCACAATGCTAGAATGTTCTAGAAATAACAATGTGTGTGTGTGGTTTTTTGTTTGTTTGTTTGTCAAGCGATAACAATGTTCTGCTGTAAATATTTCTGTATGGAAACCTTTACCAATTGCTAGTGGACACTGAAGGTTATTTTGAAATCTTCTCAAAGGATTATTTTTTATTCTTAAAATTATTTTAATTTCTGTTAAGCTGTCCTGGAAGTCATTCCTTATTATAACTTGAACTGCCTTCTCTGTTTATAACTTGACATTCCTTTTCTGGTCCAGACCATCTACTTTTCTTTTTTTTTTTTTGGTGACTCAGTTTGACTTTTATTCACTTGATCTAGGACTCTTCTGCTTATACAGAACAATTGAGAATTCAGTAAACTTCCTACCTATTTCTTTTCTAGGGACAACATGATCAACTAGCCACACGATAGGTCTCTGAGTCAGACAATTATGATTTCTACTTAGACTCTGCTGTCCATTAAAGTATACCAAGGCAGTTTTGACATTTCATCTTCCTGTGTGTCTGCCACTTTTGTGTCTATTTTTCAGCTATGCAACAAAACAAACTGTTAAAGCTCTTTTTAACTCCTTGACCTAAAACATTGAATCAAGAATCTCTGCTAGTGGGCCAATATCAATAAATTCAGCCCGACCCAACTTTATGGTCCTTACACTATGATCCCACACACTGATTCCCATTTGCACACATATTCCCTGGCTCTCTGTTTATACAACTTAAAAACTCATGCAATACTTTTGTTATGCAGTGCTCTTCCTCACCAGTCACACTTCGTACATCTCCTTTTGGGACCTGCTGTAACTAAAGTCTAGTTATAGGTCTAGAAGAAAAAAAGGGTGGTATGTCCTGAGAAGAATCCCTAGTTCCTTCCCTCTAGGAAGGTCATTGCAGGTTCTTAAGGCAAAGTAAAAGAGCTATGGTGGTGCAGTGGCTAAAGCACTTGGGTGCTAACTAAAAGGTCAGTGATTTGAACCCACCAGCTGCTCCATGGAAGAAAGATTTGTCAGTCTGCTTCCATAAAAGACTTAACCAAAAAACCAAATTCACTGGCATTGAGTTGATTCCAACTCACAGTGACCCCCTTTGGGTTTCTGATACTGTAAATCTTTATGGAAGTAGATTGCCCCATCTTCCTTCCATGGAGCAGCTGGTGGGTTTGAACCACTGGCCTTCTGATTAGCAGCCAGATGCCTTAGCAACTATGCCACCAAAGCTCCTATAAAAGACTTGGAGCCATGGAAATGCTTTGGAGCAGTTCTACTCTGTCCTATAGAGTTGCTATGAGTTGGTGTAAACTTGACCACCATGAATAAGGCAAAGGAAGACTAAATCCCTCAGGTGGGGTGAAAATGCTGCTTCTACTGGCAAAGAAGATTTGGCAGAATTTAGGGGTTTGATATCTCCAGCTTTATTTGCATATGCTCATAAGACCCCATTTCAATTTTTAGGACCCTATCAGTGGGGTAAGGAATTCTGATGGTACAGTGGTTAATGTATTTGACTGCTACCCGAAAAGTCTAACTAATAGTGAGCCTATATTTGCAAAGCAAAACTGCCACATAGGATTTTCAAAGGTGTGACTTTTCTGAAGCAAATTGCCAGACCTGTCTCCCGAGGCACCATTGGGTGAGTTTGAACCACTAACATTTTGGCTAGTAGTTGAATGCTTAATCATTTATACCACTCAGGGACTCCTCAAATACTCCTGCACAACCTGGTAATAAAGCAAAGCTAAGTTTACTAGAACTCACTTCAGTGAGAGCATCTTGATGGTCTTAGCAGTGTCTCAGGAGGAGGAAGTCAAAAAACTCCTATTTAAAGGGCTTGGGAATCTGAGCTTGAGTAGTTTAAGGCATGAATTTTAAGGTGAACTAACTGGAAGATAGACACCTGACCAACTGACTGGAAATTATCAATATTTGTACCCATTTCAAAGAAAAGTGATACCACAGAATGTGAAAATTATCGAACAATGTTAATATCACACACAAATAAAATATTGCTGAAGATAATTCAAAAACCATTGTACAGTATATTGACCAGAAACTTCCAGAAATGCAAGCTGGATTCAGAAGAGGACGTGGAATGAGGGATATTATTGTTGATGTCAGGTGGATCTTGGCTGAAAACGAAGAATACTAGAAAGATGTTTACTTGTGTTTTATTGACTATGCAAAAGTATTCAACTGTGTAAATCATAACAAATTATGTATAATGTTGAGAAGAATAGGAATTCTAGAACACTTAATTGTGCTCATGAGAAACCTGTTCATAGATAAGGAGGCTGTCATTCAAACAGAACAAGGGGAGACTGAATGGTTTAAAATCAGGAAGGGAGTGCGTGAAGATTGTTTCCTTTCACCATACTTATTCAATCTGTATGCTGAGCAAATAATCTGAAAAGCTGGACTATATGAAGAAGATCATGGCATCAGGATTGGAGGAAGACTCATTAATGTCCTGTGACATGCAGATGACAAAAACTTGCTTGCTGGAAATGAGGATGACGTGAATAACTTACTAATGAAGATTAAAGACTACAGTCTGCAGTTTGGATTACACCTCAACATAAAGATGAAAATCCTCACAACTGGACCAATAAGTAGCATCATAACAAATGGAGAAAAGATTGAAGTTTTCAAAGATCTCATATTACTTGGACGCACCATCAACACAAATGGAAACAGCAGTCAAGACATCAGATGATGTATTTACACTGGTCAAATCTATTGCAAAAGACCTCTTTAAAGTGCTGAAGAGCAATGATGTCTCTTTGAAGACTAAGATGTGCCTAACTCAAGCCATGAGGTTTTGAATAGCCTCATATTTGTGTGAGGGCTGGACAATGAATAAGGAAGACCTAAGAAGAGTTGATACTTTTGAGTTGTGGTGCTGGTGAAGAACACTGAAAGCACCATGGACTACCAAATGAACGAACAATCTCTCCTGGAAGAAGTGAAGCTGGAATGCTCTTTGGAAGCAAGAATGGCCAGACTTCATCTCACCTACTTTGGTCATATTGTCAGAAGGGACCATGCCCTGGAGAAGGATATCATGTTTGGTAAAGTGGAGGGTCAGGAAAAAAGGGGAAGGCCCACAATGAGATGTTTTGACACAGTGGCTGCAATGATGGGCTCAGGTATAGGGTATAGCAAGGATTGTGAGGCTGGCACAGGACCAGGCAGTGTTTCATTCTGTTGTACATGGGGTCTCTATAAGTGGGAGCTGACTCGATGGCACCTAACAACAACAATTGGAATTGACCACACTGCTGTCTCAGATCAATTAATCTGCAAGAATTTCCTGAAGCACAGTAAAGTTATATGCTGATATACTGATTTATTATCTTTCCAGATCAAATGTTTCCAGGCACTAAGAACTAACAGGTGGTTTCAGTTCTCAGTCACTTTGTAAGAAAGAACTTTAGGCCTATGATAAGCACAGGAATTCTCACCATGCTTGCCGTGAATCCAGAGGAAACTAGGGAGAGTGACATTCACTCACATCATAATGCTTTCCTTACACTTGAGTGTCATTGGGGCAGATCTTCAGGTCCTGTGATTCAGCAAACATCCACTTTCAGAATGAGGAGATAGTTCCTCTTCATGGGGACTATCACAAACATCTTACCCATCAACTTCCCACACAAGGAGCAGAAGAGAATGAATGCAGAATTAACACCTATAGCCTCCACTTTCACTTAAGTTAGCCCTTTCTCCCCCATTTTACAGATAAAGTGTGTGTGAATAAGGGGAAAGATAGGTGGTATGCCATCATAGAATCTATGTAAATTCACCTTCTTTGAAAATTCT